AGGCCCCCGCGGCCTCGCGAACCTTCCTTTCCGCAAGCCGAGACGTTACCTATCGATCGTTACGCTCGTTCGAGCCTCTCGATGCCGTTATCGTCGAACGACCGCGAAATTACTTGGAACGTTAGCCGCTGAACTCGCGGCTGTTCGACCGTTCGCGCGTGCAACGCGCTTCTATCCAGCAGCCACGCCTCGAGAGTCCGCGTCTCCGATCGATTAACCGTCCGAGGTAATTGATCCTGATCGTCGCGGAATCGAAGGTATTATCGGTAAAGCGTGGATAGGACGACTCTCCGCATCCGATGGACGTAGAGAGTTCGCGACGTACGGGAACGGACAGAAAGAGCGTAGTCGAGTTACGGGGTAGACGGTGGGGTGTTCGGTGCACCAAGCTGGATTTCACTTATCTCTCGGCGTCGAAGCATGCCGCTCGGCATGCCGATGCAACGACGATGCCCATTATGGCCGCATTAACTGAAATTAGATATTGTTTCCCTCGCTGAGCTGGAACGATACAACAATGGGAGGACGAAGTCTACGACGACGAGGACGACGACGACGACGACGACGACGAGAACGACGACGGAGGCGGCTAGTCGGCCTGTTCGTACGAACGTTCGGGTCAAACCGAAACGACGAGTCGGGAAGAGAAAGAGAGCGAGAGAGAGAGAGGAAAGTACGGGCATATAAAAAGGTTCGAGAGGAACCGAGACCGAGCGAGATGGAAAAAATTACGCGAGGCCAACACGCGAACAGAGAGAGAGAGGATAAACTCTGCTCTTTCGCCTCTTACCTTTTCTTTTTCGACTTGTCGTCTCTTTCGCTCTCGGTCCCGCGCGCGAGCGCGCACGTACGCGCATACACACGCTCGACTTTCCTCTACGTCCCCGATGCCCACCTCTCCGAGAAGACCAGTGCGCGCCGAGAGAAGAGATTGCCGATATTACGGCAGGGTCAGGATCGTGACTTTAATCAATTAGCGAGGTTTCTCGGACCCGGGAAATGATTAGTAATCCGAGTGGCGGTCGATTCTTGATCCTGCGCGCACGACGCGACGAGACTCCCTCTCGGTTCGATTTCGTGCGCGAAACTCGCTCCGCGATAACGTCCGGAGATTCGTTTCTACGGAAGTCTCTGCGGAAGTCGAAATCGAATCGACGCGAAGAAAATCCTCGAGCGAGGTATTTAGCGCGCGAACCGAGTTACAAGAACGACAAAGCCGTTACGCGCGAGTACAAACAAATCGATCCGCGTGATCCCCCGAGGCGGTAAGATTCTTGATACGTCCGGACGGATGCGCGTAAACGCGGACGACTTTGACGGGATTCCAAGACGGTCGGTGTGCCGCTCACGATTAATAGCGTCGAAACGTTCGGTCGACGCCGCCTTCCGCTAGACTACCGCGTTCTCGCTCGTTGCCCGTCTACCGTCCACGATAGATTCGCCTTTCTCTTGCGGCTTCTCGGTATCGCTCGGTAGAATCGCGCGGCGTCGCTTTTCGACCGATCGAAAAACCACTGGCCTTGCACGGCTCGACCGACGCCGAAAAGCGACACCGATCGCGTAGAAAATGTCGGTTCGCGTGGCCCTTCGTTTCCGCACCGAAGAAACTCGAAACGACCGCCATCCGAGCGAACTGTTCCGCGTGGCGACGGAGCGTTCGTATTTACACGCATAATCTCTTTCCGAGCATTAAAATACAAAGTAGTCGCATTACCATGACAAAACTGTCGTCGGGTCAAGAGTACCTGACACCGTTCGTGGGGGATTGCGATCGGAACTCGGGCTCATTATGCATATTCAGAACGGTGCAAGGTCCAACGTTGCGCGTATTACCCTTTGTTCGTTCCCCCTGCTCACGGCGTCTAGGTAAATATCCCTGCTCGTTCTCTACCCTCCGTTAACCTCTTCCAACCACGAGTTTTATTCTCGGCGACGCTTCGTCCGTCACCGATTTATTCTTCCTCGTTTCTTCGGCCTGTTGTTCGTTCGACTAGATCCGTTCGAACAAACGTTTAGAAGCCGCGCCGCGGAAGAACGTACGTAACGCGCTCGCGTTCGGCTTCGAGCGAGGAGAAGCGACCTTCGAGCTCTCGCGCGATCAGAATGTGAAAGTTCACTCGGAAAAGGCGGTCAACGCTAACGTAGGTTACTCGACTTTGCGCGCGACCGCCGACACCGTATCCCCTTTTATTCGTTCCTCGACAACTCGAAGCGCCTTCAAACGGTTTCCTCTCGTTTCCATCGAGACTTTCCTAATCTCAAGTATTTTCCGCGTAATTTAACGGACTTTCAGAGTTCGAGAACGATCAGCGACCGAAACGCGATCTCGATCTTGCGAATAAATCCGGTACGAAGCTTTTTCCTCGAATTCTAGCATCGTTAACATATTCGATCGTTGCGTTACACGTAATAAATTGTTGGTCGTACGAACGGAGTCGCGAGGAATCTAGAAAGAAGGAGCAGAGCAGAAGGGGGAAGTAGGAAGAGGAGAAGGGTATTGGTAATTACGGTAAGAAAAAAGTACGCGATGCAAATATCAACAGCCGTTAACTCGTAGAACTCACCTGCCTTGCGTCGCGAACCAGTCCCCGATAGACGTGGGCCGATACTTGCTCAACCCAGACCGTTTGCGCGCGTTCCATAGCGTCCGTTAGCGGCCACTGCGCTAGCGACCACTTTCGAACCAACATTCTGCACGGATCGAACTTGAAACGATTCCTTCGCGAAATTTTACGTTGGTTAGGGCACCGGGAATTTTCGAGTATCGAAACGAAGGAAAGAGGAGGAAATCGGCGCGAATCACGGTCGGAAAGTAACCGCGAAAAGAAACGAGAAAGCGACGATTCGAAAGACAGTAGGTCAAAAGAGCGTTCCGTTGGCCGCGAACCGGAACGAAGGAAGGACGCGTCGTTCGAAGAAATTCTTTCGTCGAGAATCTCCCACGCGATTCCGTGCGACGAACGAGGGATCGTCGTCATTCTCTTTACGAATCGCGCAAAAGACGCGAACGGAAAGTACGAATATTAACCGCGATTCCTCGGAGGTCACGCATTGTCCATTCGAATCCCGAGACACGCCCGGCTTCCCTTTTCGATCTCTCGTACTTCGTTTCGTTTACGGATCGGTCGTACCTTCCACGAGCTTAATGTTGCTCGCATAACGTAAGAGCGTAGCATCGAGTAGCATGCGAGCGGAGGCCTCGCCGCGAGCAGGCACCGTGGGAATGTTAGGCGGGCCCACTGGCCGTGCATCGTTGCCGTCTCTTTTCCTCTTCTCTTCTATTCTCTTCTCCTTTCTGCTATACGCTCTCTACTCTTATCCACTCTTTCGCCCTTCTCTTTCCCTTCTTCTTTCTCTGCTTCTTCGCCTTGGTCTTCTTCCTCTCGTAACCTCGCTCGATCCTTTCCCTTTCGACTTTTCTCGACTTTTGCCACCAGACTTAACGCTCTCTTTTAACGTTTCGCGCCTTTTCCTGTTTCGGCCCGTCGAGACTCTGGACGTCGTTCAACGGGAACGTATCTCGTGGCTGGTCGAACGCGAACGTAGGGCCGCGAAAGGTAAACGGAGCCTTCTTTCCGGCGAAATTATCATAATGGCTCGAAACAGAAGCATAGCCCGGAGCTAGCTCGGCTCCGCTCGAAAAGTGGCTGCGCGATCTCTCTCGCCGTGTTCCGCGGGTCCGTTGGACTCGAACGGCTCGTCGATGGATACGCGTACGCGAGCGTGCTCGCTCGAACCCGTCTCGGTTGCCCCGGTCGCCCCGGTCGGCCCAACGCCGACTACGCGCACACACCCGTATACCTCTCTCGCACGGTAATTACGTGACGTATTAATACCAGTTATTCCGCGTCGACTGGTTCTCTGCTCGTCTCGATCCGCAGGTGTATTTCGGATCTTTTTCTCTTTCGCTGACCGTTCTCTTTTCTCCTTTCCTCTCTGCCTCGCCCTCTGTCTCCCTATGCTTCTCTTTTCCGCGCTCGCTTCTCGCCAGTCTCGCTGTCCTCGTCGCGTTCGCGATCGAGCCTCGATGGGATGCCTCCTCGCGAGCCACAACTTTGTGGCGAGAATCGTTGCTAACGATACCGAACAACGAGCAAAACGAAAAGAGTCGTTGCGAATTTTTGAACCGAAAGGAAAAAGGAGCATTTCGGCGTCGTTCAAGTCCTAACGGGACGACGATACTCGGCGTGGCCGCCTACTCCTCTTTGCCTTGCCACCTTCGAGCCGGAACTGCCGCTCGAGGGGACGAGCACCCGCTTATTAAACGCGTAAAAATCGAGCCCGCGTTGCATCGGCCATGCGATACGCGCTCCTTTCTCGCCCTTCTCTTCGCGCGACCGATACCTTCGATCGCTCTGCGATTTTAATTTCTAGCGAACGACGCTCGACCTTTCCCTAACTTGCCGAGGATCGAGGTCGAAACGACGAGGCACGATCGAATCGATTCGGGGAACGTTTAAACGCGACTAATAGCGAGATCGTTGCTCGCCACGAAAAAGAAGGGAACGAAACGGGAGAAAGGAGAGGAAAAGAGAGAGGTAGCGGAAAGGTAGACGCAAGAAGCCGAGGAGCGGTGCTTCCCATCATTAGGTCGTTCCGTTGCGGGACCGCCGCAGGCTCTTACGTAGGTGTTTATTTATCGTCGGAGACTGCACGCGGAGAATCGGTGCTGGTCGGCACGGCTAACCTCCGTTTCGAGTAATCGCGCGAGTTCTAACGTCGTCTCACCGCGAGTGCGAATAGTCTCTCGAGAAATTCCGAAAAGAGTTTCTCTCCAGTTTACGTACACGACTTTGGCGTGTCTGCCCGTGGCGAAAACGCCGAACGACTAGTCGAGTTCGTTCGCGCTTCGGATCGAAAATTTGCGGTCGCGAAGCTAGACTCGCGCGAACCTTGGTACCGTTAACGACGCTTCTCTCTTTCTCTCTCTCCTCTTTCTTCCTTTTCTCTCGCGGAGACGAGAGCAGTGATCGATTTGAAAACACGAAATCGCGACGAAGGAATCGTTATCGTCGACGCGTACGACGTCGTCTAACCGACGACCCATTGACCTCGTACCGACGATCACGTAGGCCGTTACCGTCACCGGTGAAATTGTAGGCAATCGGATTCGCGGGTCATCCCTTCCCTTTTCCTGGCTTTCGAACCGCTTCGGGCTGTTCGTTTGTTCGTCTCTTTGCTCGCTCGCTAGGTTTTCCGCGAAGCGTCGCTTCTAACCGTATCTGCTGGGCGTTCGATGCCGCGATTAAGACGTCAAGACGCCTCTCTTCGTTTCGCTCGATCTCGCGCACCACCGACTCGTATAACGCACGCAACTGTATCGTTCGCGAGGCTAGCGTCGTCGGTCGCGGGATACAGCTTCTCCTCCTCGTACCCGTGTCTTTTAATTTATCTTCGTAGCACGTCGCATTCTCTCTCGTCGTTCTTCGCGATCCTAGCATTCTCCGCAGCGTTTGTCCGGAGAATTTTTCAACCGGAGCGTACAACGATCATCGATAAAGGGTAATAAAGTGTCGCATCGTCGATGGTCTCCGCGAAGGAACGACGAGGAACGGAAACGCGATGAAAAAACGTGCGCGGAAAATCGAACCGTTGAGCCGTAGAGATTCCTGCGGTGTAGGACGCGTAACGGAACGACGAACGTTAACAGGCATCCGCGAATGTTTCGCCGGTGTTTTCCAATTATCCACGAGCTCGAAGAATTCGATGTTCGAGAAGCTGTATCCGTCATTTAGTTCTCTTACCGCGATTCCGTATGTTCTCGTTTACTCTTCTCTTCTAATCGTGTCTAGTTTTTGGGCGACGCTTCGCTCAAGTAAATCGGTCGAGCGACGTATCGTCGAACCGCGTGAAATTTCTAAGTCGTATGCCATGGCCGCTAATGAAATTCCTTTCCGCGCGGCATCCACCGCGCGCGATCATCTTAATCAACGCGCTGTCGCTGCGAACGAAAAAAATTAGCATTTTAAATCACGCGCTCCGCGGGTGCTCCTGCACCACTCTTCTTCTTCTTCTTCTCGCCTAAAGTACGGTATACGAGCGTGGCTCGTTCCTTCCTACCTACGCGAAGCCATTCCATCCGTCTCCTTTCGCGGCTTCGTCGCGGTCCGGTCTTCTTCGTTCTCTCGTTTCCGAGTCCACGTCATCCCGGTAATTCGTTTATTATCAAAGAGGAACGGAAGATTGATCGTCGTTTCTCGATGTTTATAATTATTTTGAACGATGCTCGCCGCTCATTGTGCCGCTCGCGGAGACGGATACTCCTCTGAAATACGAGCGAGCATCGAACCAACCAAACGCGATAGATTCTTCTCTCGTTTTCTCTCTCTCTCTCTCGCTCTCTCTTTCTTCGTTTCGTTCCTCCGTTAACCCATTCTCGCGTTGCTTCCCTTTCTTCGAACCGCGCGTCAGCGTCATCAATCCACGTCCAACGTTTTCTCTGTGGTCTATTCGCGCCGAGTTCTAGCTACGTGGCTCGTTCGGACGACTTAAATTTTCTACCTTCGATCGCGAAATCGACCGACCAACAGTCCCGAGAGATACGCGCGAATATTTCTGGAACTCGTTCCGATCGCGACAGCGTACGGACGCGAAAAAAGTTCCTCGGTTGTTCGATGGACGCGGACTTTGGTACGTTTAGATAACTTATCGAGTCGTTGTCGACTCGTTTTTTTCCAAGAGACAGTGTCTCGATTCCGTTGGCTGGAACGTTGCAGCGAGCCGCTAGAATCGACGCAGTTCGCGTCGCAAATTTCGTGTCCTCGTGTTCGCGTTTCCGCGTCGAATCGACGTTTGCTCCGATTTCGGGGAAAAAAGTTTGGCGCCGATAATGCTTTTCGCGGAATCGCGCGTGTTCGCGACAATCGCGCGAACTCTGACCCGGCACGGCGGCTGAAATCGCGAGAAATTAGACGCGACGATCCGGCGCGACTAGCGATTAGTTTCGACGCGAGAAAGGGCGGGGCGAACGCGCGCTAAATTTCCGAAGCGAATCCGTCCGTTCGATCGTCGCGCGACGCCGAGCACCGCTTAACATTCGCTTTGGCCGAGCATCGCGGAAACGATTTGCTCGGTACCGGGACTGAAACACGGGACACGATTTTTTCGTCCGGAGCGGAGAGACGCGCAGCGCGAAGAGACGGAAAAGGGGGTCGAGGGAAGGGAAGATGGAATAGACGATGTTCGTTAGCCGCGGGGTGGAGGTTGGAATTCAGCCGGTGCGCAGCAGGGTGCCGTTTCTCCTCGAGCTCTCGCAAGAAAAAGAAAGACTGAGTAACGGAACGAACGAGAGAATGGAAGAGGGACGCGAAATACGCGAAAGATTCTCTTCCTGACCCCGCGATTTTCTTCGTTTTTTTCGATCGAGGTTTCGGAACGGACTCTAGCCGAGTCACGTCGATGCTACACCTCCGACGTTTCCCCGTCCGAGGCGATTACTTCCGCGCGGCGTTCGACGCGCGAACGGATGGGATGCGCGAGCGGGACGATAGGCGTACAACGAGCGATCGCGATGCAGGTTCGTTGGAATTTTCTACGATTCGCGAGATACGTTCAATGGGCTCCGTTCGTTCCTAATTCGAAAGAGCCGCGAAAGAGTGATAAAATGTTTGATTCGCGTTTGTTACAGCGGTGCAGAGAGGTCGAGTGCCACCGTCGCAACCGTCGCTACCAGGTCTACCCGGACAGTTTGCCCTGACGAACGGCGACGCGGTCGCGTGCGCCAGCCTGAACGGCCACTCTTACCTTTCCTCGTACATCAGTTTGCTGCTGAGGGCGGAACCGTATCCGACCTCGAGATACGGCCAGTGCATGCAACCGAACAACATCATGGGAATCGACAACATCTGCGAGCTCGCGGCGAGATTGCTGTTCTCGGCCGTCGAGTGGGCCAGAAACATCCCGTTCTTCCCGGACCTTCAAGTGACGGACCAGGTTGCCCTGCTCAGGCTAGTTTGGAGCGAGTTGTTCGTGCTAAACGCGAGCCAGTGCTCGATGCCCCTCCACGTGGCGCCGTTGTTGGCGGCAGCCGGTCTTCACGCTTCGCCCATGGCAGCGGACCGGGTCGTCGCTTTCATGGACCACATCAGGATCTTTCAGGAACAGGTGGAAAAACTGAAAGCGCTACACGTCGATTCCGCCGAGTACAGTTGCTTGAAGGCCATCGTCCTCTTCACCACGGGTAAGCGTACAACCTATCGTATCGAGAAGGATACTTTGTCTTTTCCGTAAGCGATCGCGAAGATCGGAACGAGGAACAATGCTCGTTGCCGCTAAGCCGCGACGCGGTTTCGCGAACGGC